TGCACCAAAGGAGGCTCAGGAGCCTACAACTCAGTATTACTAGCCAACTCTGGCTCTGAGAATTGAGATAAGGTAAGGAGGCAGATGTTATTTTGCCTCTGGGAAACTATAGCACTCAGAGAGATTAGTCTGGATTACTTCCCTGAGATCTTCTCTTCTCCCTTTTGCTTCACGTCTCCTCCACGCTCTACCCCTGGAAGGAGGGGAAGCACGAGAGGCGGTGTTCACCTTCTGGTCTCGCTTCCACTCCTCAGAATAGGACAGCCCAGCCCCCTTCGTGGCTTAAGGCGTATAAAGGTCTTGAAAGCCGTGGAGCGAGCCATCTGGTCATTGACTATTTTTTTCATTCCATTAATAGAAATAGGCCTATAATTAACCATATTTAACTTACAACCCTTGTTATATAATGGAATAACTAGCACGTTTAAACTCACTTGGTATATTGATAAATTTAACATTAATAATACAAAAGGAGCATTTACTCTAGCACACTCCCTAAAAAATGTTGTAGGAATATTGTCAATTCCAGGTGCCTTATTTTTTTTCATTTCACGAATATGTGAAATAAATAATGAAGAAGCAGAAGAAGCAGTAGAACAACAGGAAAGAAGATCAATCTGTGAGTGTTTACTTTTCTCATTAGATTTTAGCGCGGCTCTTCGTTGCCACCGAGCAAGAATCCAGACAAGGCACTTGATTATTAAATTGTTGTTGTTTATTTTATTTTATTGTTGTTTCCTTTCTATTCTACACAACTTCTGATCTTTCTGTTTGTGAGCTCTTTTACACTGTGTTTTCAAATCCCTACTATTACTAACAGACGTAAATCAAATGTCACACGTCGGACGCAGTACAATCCTAACAACCTGTGTACCTTTCCAGTGTCTTCTAACAATTTATTCTCTTTTCCAATTGGTCTCTGGAACTGCCAGTCCACTGTAAACCAAGATGATTCCATTACATCTATTTCTAGTCATTCAGGCCAGGCTAGTCGATCAGACCAGAGGACACTGCCACACCTGCTGCCGTCTCCACTAACTTCACTTTCTCACACACCCCTCGTCTGACCAGGAAGGGGTGGAGGTACTGGTCTGCTCATCTCAAATGGCTGGAAATTTGATCCTTTACCACCTCTGTGTGACAACAGCTCATTTGAATCACATTCAATTACCATCCTATTACCGTCCTATTAAAATCCATTTTGTAGTTGTATATCGTCCCCCAGGTCAACTTGGCAGTTTCATGGAGGAGCTTGATCTACTCTCATCCTTCCCTGAAGATGGTACTCCTCTCATAGTTCTTGGTGACTTCAACATCCACCTAGAAAAACCTCATGCTGCTGATTTCCACACCCTGCTTGCCTCATGCGACCTCAAATGATTATCTACTGCGGCTACTCACAAATCAGGTAACCAATTGGATCTTATTTACACGCGCTACTGCTCCACTGACCATTCATTGGTCACTCCGCTGCACACCTCAGATCACTTCCTCACTCTCAACCTCAACCTGCCTCAGAACACAACACACACTCCTCCACAGGTCACCTTTCGGCGGAACCTACGCTCACTTTCACCCTCTCGCCTATCCTCTTTGGCCTCATCCACACTTCCTCCACCTGATCAGCTCTCAACACTAGATGCTAACAGTGCAACTGAGACTCTTTTCTCCACTTTAACATCCTGCTTGGACAACTTTTGCTCCCTTTCCTGCAGGCCAGCCCGCGCCACACCCTCTACCCCCTGGTTATCTGATGTTCTCCGCGTTTAGAACATCGTTCTAAACTCAGGGGTGCAGAGAGGAAGGGGCGCAAATCGAAAGATCCTACAGACCTTGGTCTTTATCAATCCCTCCTCTCTTCTTTCTCTTTTAATATCTCTACTGCTAAAATGACTTACTATCACAACAAAATTAACAATTCTTCTGACTCTCGCATGCTTTTCAAAACCTTCTGTCCGCTTGATCCTATTTGCATTAATCTACTTCAAGCCATTTCTTCCTCAATTGTACCCACACTCACACACAGGCCAGCTGACAGTCTTGCCTGGGCCCGGGACAAGATAATCTTAGATGGGGCCCCCCCACGATTTTTTTTATTTTTTATAAAACACCATATACTTTTACCCAAAATGAATAATAAAAACACGTTTAAATGGGTACGTTTTCTATAAATGTCTTTATTTTCTTTTCTGACATAGCCTACTGCAGTTCTTGTTAAAACACACTAGACATGCATAAACTGTGCATTTTGGGCACTTTTTGTGTGAAATCATATTTATTTTTTGTCCATCAAAAGTGTGCTTTCACTTTTAAACATGAGCAGCGCAGCAAAAATAGACTCGGATCTGACCCATTATCTGTTCACCGATGATGACAGTGATGCATTTCAGCCGGCTTTTTATTTCTCATCTCCATAAATAGTAGTAAAGCTAATGCAAGGGCTAGAAATCAATTAATTCTTTGCTAATACTTCCTCGTCATTATGGAGAGCGCAGTTCGCACCGCTTTCTCCTTTCCACAAGCGCGTGCTCTCCCGTGGCGTCTGTCGTTGCTATGCAACAATGAACTTAGGCACGCCTGTAAAAACGAGCGCGCCGCGTCGCTACTATGAGCTAATATCCAAAATATTTCCATATGTGGCTCTTTCCTCCTTTCTTATCAACAAGTGGATTAACAGCCGCCACAGCAGCAGCACCGCCGGTCGCCATGTCTCAGCGCTTTTATGAAGAGGACGCAACTGCACGCGCTATGGGCACGCGCATCCCGGGTTTGAGAAAACCTGGTACCGTGGCGTGACGTTTAAAAAGAAATTTGTACCGACTTGGTACCGAAGTGCCGGGTCTTTGACAACACTCATAAACGTTGGCTGCGCTGTTTCTTACCTTGCTCTACGTTGACTTTACTAACGTTAGTTCCAGCTTCACCGTCACCAGCTTTTTAAAAATATTTGTTTAGGACATCTCGAAGGACTCTATTTTCTTCTTCTGTTTTCTGAGCACCGGACTTGTGCTAACCGGACATTTTGAGCGTAACGTTAGCCTACTGAACTTCAAATCAAATGACAACATCATATTTCGATCAGTGGCCAAACCATTTTTGTTTTTTTGGGGGGGGGAGGGTTCTTGACCACTATTTCAAGGACAATTAGGAAGAAAACGAATAAAAAGCTTTGATGTAACTCAAATATTAGATATTTTTTCAACAAATATGCCTATTTTATTTATTTTTTTAACAATTATTCCATAATTTAATGAGGGCCCAGTTCTGGGCCCCCCTCCCTACCCTGGGCCCGGGACAACATACCCGTTTGTCCCCCCCTGTCTGCGGGCCTGCTCACACACATCATGAACACCTCTCTTCACACTGGTACCTTTCCCACAGCTTTTAAGCAGGCTCGGGTAACCCCACTGCTTAAGAAACCCACTCTCAATCCAGCACATTTGGAAAATTACAGACCGGTTTCCCTTCTTCCATTTGTCGCAAAAACACTTGAACGAGTTGTTTTCAACCAGATCTCTTCTGAGCTCTGAGACTGACAAGAGCAGCTTCCAAATCCTCAGTTCTTATCCTGCTGGATCTGTCTGCTGCCTTTGACACAGTTAACCACCAGATACTAGGATCTGTGATTCAGAGACATGGCTTTTCCTATCACTGATATGCTGATGACAAACAACTCTACCTCTCATTCCAGCCTGACGATCCCACGGTAGCTGCTCGTATCTCAGCCTGTCTGACAGACATCTCTGGCTGGATGAAGGACCACCACCTTCAACTAAATCTTGTGAAGACAGAGCTACTTGTGGTCCCGGCCAACCCAACACTTCATCACAACTTCTCCATTCAGCGAGGCTCATCATCCATAACTCCATCAAAGTCAGCCAGGAATCTTGGGGTTGTAATTGATGATCAATTGAACTTTACAGACCACATTGCTAGAACTGCCCAGTCATGTAGATTTGCCTTGCACAACAGAGCATGCTACACATCTCTTTGTCCAAGCGCTTGTTCTATCCAGACTGGTATTGTAATGCTCTCCTGGCTGCTCTTCCAGCTAGCTCTGTCAAACCTCTGCAATTGATCCAGAATGCTGCAGCCAGAGTGGTCTTTAATGAGCCGAAGAGAGCACACGTCACTCCTCTCCTCACAAAATTGCACTGGTTGCCAGTTGCCACTCGCATTAAATTCAAGTCACTGACGTTTGCCTACAGAACAACCACTGGCACTGCTCCCTTTTAACTAAACTCATTACTTCAGACTTATGTGCCATCCAGAAACTTGCGGTCTGCAAGCGAATGTCGTATTGTGGTACCATCTCAAACAGGCACAACATCTCTTTCTCTGATCTTTACCATATCTGTTCCCTGCTGGAGGAATGATCTGCCCAACTCAACCAGAGCGGCTGAGTCAGTAGCCACTTTCAAGAAACAGCTGGAGATCCATCTTTTTCAGCAGCACTTGATCCAGTAACACTAACACTTTCTATTCTATTCTATTTTTTATTTAAAAAAAAAAAAACAATTACATGGACATAGATGAAACTGAGGGGGGTCATAGCACTTGCAGTTAGTTTAACTGTTAATTGTTCTCATTTGTAAGTCGCTTTGGATAAAAGCGTCTGCTAAATGAATACATGTAAATTAATACATTTAAAAACTCCACTTTCAGTAACTGGTCTTAATCTAAAAGAATCTATCAATTCCACATTGCCCATAAAAAGGCTGGTCAGTAGGCGTAAAATAGGTGGTGTTTTAGTGACAGTTCTTAGTTTTTAGTGACTGTTCGAATCCATTCGACATCATGAATGAACACTATGAAAGCAATGAATCATATGCTATGAAAGCAATCAAGTCAAATGGGTTTTCGACAACCTCTGGAAGTGGTCGAAAGAGGACTAGCTCAAAACATTTAGACCCCGTTTACACCTGTGTTTAGCATCATCCTCTTGTGATGCGATTGACCAGGTGTAAACATGGCCTTTTATAAGTTAAACCTGTTCTCACTGGGAGATTTGTTCATGCCAGTGTGGCAATCCTTAACAAATACTTGAATCTCCTCATCTCCTTGAACTTTCTCATCGCTGTCATAGTAGATGTTGACCACAGCAGACACAAAACTACAGAAAGATCAAAAAGATGAAAAATGAACAAATTAACAAAAATAACTTTTTATTGGAGTGTATGTGAACTAATTTGTACTTTTGCACTAGTAGTACATGATCTGAACTGTTGCAACACCTACTTGTATATTGCCTCCCAGATCTTCATGCCATCATCTCTATAATAGTACTTGGGCGCATCTTCCATTCCTCGAGCTTTTATGTCCTCAGGGAAGCACAGGGACTCATAGGATAAAGTCTCCATGGCACTTCTAATCACTTCATTTATCCCTTTTCCATCGAGGCTACTAATCTGTGGATACCAAGAAATCAGTTAATATTTTGCCTAAATATTTTCAGCACTTATTTAGCCTACCCGTTGACTTTTTGAAATTTAGGAACTATTAGGTCTGTCGGTTTAAGCAAACACCAGTTAACTATATACAAGGTAGCCTATGAAATAGAAGTAAGAGCATTCAGCAAAAAGACAGAATATCACAAGCCAGAAAGTCAGGTAATGGCTCAGGCCATTATGAAGGTTTGTTAACACCGTGTGCGTCTTTAAACCTATATCTAGGACAGAATTTATGGTTTGCCAGAAAAAGACTAAATAATCAAATATGAATAGAATCGCTTTGAATCCTAGCAATATGCTGTTTATGTGTGGAAATATTAAATTAGGTGTAAAGCTACCTTCGTGATGATCCCGCCTTCATTGATGAGTTTTTCACGAGCCACTGCATTGATTGCAGTTGTGAAACGAACATGAGGTTTCAGTAACTGTAAGAAGCATTTAAACATGTGCATTAAATCATAAAAACTGATTTAAAAGCATAACCTGAAACAGAAAAATGTCAGTGGTTTTCATGTCATTCCCTGGAGGTTTTTGGTTAACATTAAACCATGGATGAAAAGAAGTTAAGGACATCAGAACCAGCAACCCTTCATCAATAAATTGACATGTGAAACTACAATCTTCAGTTTAGCCCTGAATCTAAATATTATAACTGTGTATTGAGAGACATGTACCTTGTATACAGGGTGGACTGGAGGGAGCTGTCTGTGCATGGCCATTTGAAAAACCTCTGATATCAGATGTGTCTTGAGAAGGTGCGTGACCAACTGGTGTACAATGAAGTCGGCAGATTTCACCCACATCTTGGCAAGCATCCAATCATATTCATTATCATTCGGGAGAAAGATTGGACTCTTTTCCCCTGGGGTTTGATTGAGCTGATTCAGATATAATAAAGCCAAACAGGATATTTTTACTTCAGTTAGTAAATTCACAGCAAAGGCACTTTTATTTTTAATTTATGTTTTCATTTGATACTGATTATTTATGGGACAGATACCTGAATGGCAATTGGCACAATTTGGTCCAATCTGTTCTTGTACAGCAGGCAGAGGGGTGCAGTCAAATAGAGCTGATCGCTGGATGTTGGGACTCCCTTCAGTATTTCATAATCCACAATGTAGATTTTTCCTGCCTGTAAACATGTCCACAGGTGCAAAGTTTAGAAGTAATAGTTCATGGGTTGAAATAACATTGATTTGAGTCATTTATGTAAACTAAATTATGTGAAGGATGTAAGAATACACGCAAGTAAGTCTTGAATTTGATAACTGACCGACTGTTCAAGTGATTTATGTCTTAAAGTTTCTGACCTGTAATTCCTCTTGTAGTGTGACTCCTTTCTTCAGAAAGTCCTTCACCATCTCATGTGTGACTGGAAACTTGTCTGGAATTTCCTTGCACTTCCTGATCATGACAGGATTGCAGCCGTTCAAAAACTGATAGCCGAACATGTAATCCTCTCTCCAGTCTTGCATCACTTTCTCTGTTCAGATTTCAAAAGGGAAATTTAGTCAACTGTCTTAATTGGAATGAAAAAACGTGCTTCTGCTTTGTTGGTTTCTTACAACAATTGATTGTTGTTTTTTGGGGGATATATAGTATTTGTTTAAATGAAGAAACAAACCTAGTAGAGTGTCCTTGTAAGTATAATTTCCCAATACATTTTCAAAATCAGCCACGTCTTTCCAGGAATTAAAGAAACCTCTAGCGAAGTCAAGAGCTGATTCCCCAATCCTGAAACAGAGTGCATACTGTATAATTATAGACATGAACACTATTTGCACAAATTCCATTCTGGAGAACTGAGGAAAATCTCAGTAACAAATCAACAAGGACTATGGATACAAACTTACACTTTCCCGAAATTGGAATCAAACTCCAATTTTTTGGCTGAATCGAACTGAACTTTTAGTGGAAGACCATTCATGCTCAAAGGGAAGACTTCGGGCAACTCTTTCCAGCTTCAACAAGAAAAATGAAAACATTTACTGAAACAGTCACACTGTCATGTACACTTATGTTAAGTTAGTTTCACTTTCGTGGACTTTTAGTTAGTTTATCATCAGTTTCCTGTTTCCTTTGTCTTAGTTTCCAAAAGTCTATCATCACACCAGTTAGGCTTTTGGTTTGTTATCTTGCTTATATATGCTCTCTTGTTTTCAGTTCCCTTATTGTCTGCTATTGTTTGTGCACGGCACACTGTTTGTTTATGTTACATTGGTTTTAGCATGACCTGATTCGGAGTTAGTTAATAAACCTTGTTATTTTTTTATGCTTTTTGGCATTTCTTCTTCTGGACTAATGTGACAGATACCAAGAATTACATTTAAAGGTGAAGTGTTTTTATTTTTTTCTTAAAGTGCAATTTAATGTGTAGAAACAATTACAAGTAGCCTAAGACTTTTGTCAGTTGCCTTGTGATTTTCTTTTACAAAAATACAATAAATTGCAATCAATCCTTAAAATATTTTATATTTTACCAATGGCCTATTTTTGGGATTACTCTAAATCGTGTCAGCATTTCCAGAAACCAATTTTCTTGCTTTTCCAGAGTGATTACATGGCATTTACAGCTCAGTTTAACTGGTTAAAAAGGGAGAAATCTTTCCAAAACCGAGCAAATATCCAAGTCAGCGTCCAGTTTAAGTACTGTACTTCCATTGAGATGAATAGAAATCCTCCCAACGCACCAACGTTGAGCAGGGGGACGAGTGTCTAAACAATGGCAAATTGCCTTTGGCATCACCAGAATAATTGGTCAAATTGCAAAGACTGAACACGAAAACTGACAAGAAAATTTCTACAAACGCGTTCACTTGTTTGGGCTGTTCCTGCCACGGGTGGTTGCTGGAAGAAGAATACAATCCTATACACTGGTTTATTCACAAACGCTCCAACAGAATGGCGAACGAGAGCAACACACACTTAAAACATAGCCGACACCGGACACTGAACTCATAAAGAACTGAACATATGCAGGTGATAATGATGGTAATGCACAATTGAGAATAATTAGTGTCCGTGGAAACAAATGAGTGACGAAGGCAGGTGAAGACAAACCTGAGTGTGAGACACACACACACACACACACACACACACACACACACACACACACACACACACACACACACACACACACACACACCACACACACACACACACACACACACACTTCTGCTAAGGTCCTATGTATATGACAACATACTGTATATGTGACAATATATTTACAATATTATTGTGTCAAGCACACTGAACTGTATCTATGAAGGAATAAAGAAAAAACGGCAACAAATGCATATTGTTCAAGAATGTAATTGTTTCTTCAAACCTGAATTGTTCCTGTTTAAATTCCAGTTGTCCTCTTCTTTTCTCTTTAAGAAATTCATTGTCATCCTGAGCCAATCGAGCTAAATGAATGCACAAAGAAATATACAGCACACATTTTACACATAGAAAAGACAGCATTTAAGATCATGATTCAATAACAACTGAACAACAACAAAATTTTAAAATAATAATCATTTAAAATGAACGTAGCCTACCAGTGCCTTCTCGGTAAAACCTTGGCTTTTCGTCAAGTAACCAGGACTGACAGGGGAACTTAAGGCATTTTCCAGAGGGTGTTTTCACTGTGATATGCTCACAAAACCACGAAGAAAAATTGACATAGTAGTTCTTTTCAAGTTTCACCAGGACAATGTCTCCAAGGTCCTTCTTCACACAGACGTCGAAGGAGAACTCCTTTAATGGCAACTTTTATTAGACACGTTACATATATATATATATATATATATATATATATATATATATGGGATGGGGGGTGAACAAACCATCAAACAAACAAACAAACAATAAACATATCTCCACTAGAGTCAACCGTTTATCTCAATGTTTACTGTTGCAGATTATCAAAGTTGTGTTCACGAATACTGAACACAGTCAGAACGAGCCATTGGAGGAGCGCTAATTTTACTGGATCGAATTATTTGTCTTCATCATCAGCTACGGAAATGAACTAATCTGCTATAACTTTACAAACGGCCGGGATATGGAATAGTGTCGACTTAATAAAAAGAATAATACAACCTTGATAAATCAATTTATTACATTTGGTAAATGGGTAAATATTAAACCCAATATCGACACGTATGAAACAGACCTGATGCCCAATATTGAGTTGTTACAATACCTTAGAAACCAAAAAGCCAAGCGAATATTTGAAACTCTTTCAATAAATAACTATCATTCATCCTCTGACAATGTAATGTTTGTTATTTATTAGGGGCCAAGCACAGCTTGCGGGAAACTTATGAAATTTGGCAGACATATAAAGGACAGTCTCAATATTAACCATAGTATGTTTGGACGGAGTGTCTATCTCAAACCCTCTAGCGCCACCTACTGTCCAATGTTGCACTCACATTTATTCTACTTTTCAATCGTAAGGACTATAATAAACAGTTTTTTTACACTGATAACCAGAACATAATATCAAAACTAGCAATAGTAATAATAATAATAACAATAAATTTAAACAAAAAATACAGAACAAAATAAATAAGTTAAAAGTTAAGAGGGCCATTATATTATAGAAAAGTTATTACATGAAGAGCCTCAAAGCAGAGCAGATTCTAAAAGCCTTAACTTTCTTATTAGCAGATGCTGAGATTGCATTCAAATCAGTTTCCATTTCCTTAAGAAGACAGAGAACGCAGGTTTATGGTTTGAAAAGTTGCATTTGTGTACAATTTGCTTAAAAAAATAGTATATTAATAATAAAAATAGTGTTAACTCGATGTCAGCTACAGGGTAAACGGGTAAAGTTACAGGGTAAAATCTGTGGATCAGCTCAAAGGACACTTAATTCACTTTATTTAAAGTATCAGCCATGGAGTTTGTAATGAATGATTTAAGAAAAAATCTGTATCGTTAGTTGGTTGACTAATTAATAGGCTACTTTTGTGTTGCCAATTTTGTGTTATGTTGCGGGTCAATTTGACCCGTTTCGATTTTCAAGTTGTTGGAAATACTGGTTAACCTTTGTTTTTTGTCTTGATATTTTGTGACTTTTTCTCATTTATCATGATGAACATGCATGCAAAGTTTCAACATGCTGATTTGTTTTGACATATACAAACAAAATTACTGTTACGTTCATGATGTTCGCGGGTCAATTTGACCCTCATAGGCAGCCATTCAAAAGCAACTGTACAGACACAAAACAGGGCACTTCAACTCCAGTTCTAACGTGCAAGTGCATCTAAAAGTGCTCTAACCCTAACCAAACACACTTGAAAAAGATAAAATTACAGTGTTCAGAATTATTTGCAAATTACAGATGAAAATCTTTGTCAGACACCGATAGTAAAATAAGCTCTCATTTCAATATTCAAAATATCTAAAATACCTAGCTTTTAACCAAAACTTTTATGTAGGATTTTCAAAGGCAGCTTCACAGAGCCAAAAAATAAATAAAAAACATTAATTTGATGAATGTTTTTGTTATGTTTGGTTTCTCACTTCCCAGTGACTGAATAATGAAACTAGGAAAATAGGTCTTAGGAAACTAGGGAAAGTTAATTTAGGAAAATGAAAAAATTTCATTATACAGAATTTGTTTTTGTTCAGTTACGATGTTCAAAGCATAAAATGTAAAAAAAAAAAAAAGTAAAAAAAAGAATATGCAAAAAAAATCAGTATACTGTTTATTTTCCAATTTTGTCAAAACAAAACTGTTTTAAAAAAATGTTATAAAAACATTTTCATAAATCATATTTTCAGATATAATGTTTTTGTAATGTTTGACAAATGTTGATATTAAAAGTTTACAGTTTGTATCTAAATCTTTGTTGTTTTTCATAGTGTGATTTTTGAGGAATTGTATTGAATCCAATTAGGGTCAATTTGACCCGGTCCATAAGGGGTGTACACAGAAATCGAACAAAACACAAGGGTTAAATGATACTATTGATATTTAAGTTAAGGAATTGTGTTGCAAAATGAACAAATCTTTTTTCGAGTCATTTGATTCATTTAACGACCGAAATGAACGAATTGACTCGAAAAAAGATTTGTTCATTTTGATGAACGAGTTCGAACAGGAGAGTTACACAGAACAGAGAAAGGCGAGCATGTGAGCTTATAAAACTTAAACGTTGTTATTTTTTTTTTTAAATGAACGATCGTTTCGCATGATAAGACCCTT